GGTAACACCATTGAATATCAAGGGACGGTGATTAGATTGTCTCTTATTGATGATGCCTAGCATGTGTTGGGCATGAATGTTACTTGCCACTTGTCAGCCCAATTCTGGATTTTGTCCAGATCTTGTTGCATTTGGACACGGACTGCTTTAGTATCTGAGGAGTTGTGAATGGTGCTGAACATTGTGCAATCATCAGCAAACATCCTGACTTCTGACCTTATGATGGAGGGAAGGTTATTGATGAAGCAGCTGGAGATGGCTGGGTCTAGGACACTACCCTGAGGAACACCTGAAGCAATGTCCTGGAGCTGAGATGACTGACCTCCAACAACCATAACCATCTTCCTACGTGCCAGATATGACTCTAACCACTGGAGATTCCCATTGTTTCCAGTTTTGCTAGGGCTCCTTGATGCCACACTCAGTCGAATGCAGCCTTGATATCAAGGGCTGCGACTCTCACCTCACCTCTGGAAATCAGCTCTTTTGTCCATGTTTGAACCAAGGCTGTAATGAGGTCAGGAACTGAATAGCCCTGGTGGAACCCAAACTGGGCCTCACTCAGCAGGTTATTGCTGAGCAGGTTCTGCTTAATTGCACTGTTGATGTCACTTTCCATCAATTTACTGATGATTGAGAGTAGACTAATTGGGCAGTAATTGGCCAGGTCAGATTTGTCCTGCTTTTTGTGTACAGGACATACTTGGACAATTTTCCACATTGCCAGTGTTGTAACTGTACTGGAACAGCTTGGCTAAGGGAACTGCAAGTATTCAGTACTATTGCCGGAATGTTGTCAGGGCCCGTAGCCTTTGCAGTATCCAGTGTCTCCTACCATTTTTTGATATCGAGTTGGCTGAAGACTGGTATCTGTAATACTGGGGACCACTGGAGGAGGCCAAGATGGATCATCCACTTTGCACTTTTGGCTGAAGATTGCTGTAAAAGCTTCAGCCTTATCTTTTGCACTGATGTGCTGGGCTCATCCATCATTGAAGATAGAGATATTTGTGGACCTTCCTCCCCCAGTGAGTTGTTTAATCATCCACCACCATTCACGACTGGATGTGGCAGAACTGCAGAGCTTAGAACTGATCCGTTGGTTGTGGGATTGCTTAGCTCTGTCTATCACTTGCTCATGAACTCATGTGCCACCACTGCAGTCTGTGGAATGAAGTCTCAGGAATGCTAACCATGAAACTATTGTTGATTGTTGTAAAATATCCGGTCCGCCAATGTCCCTTTAGGGAAGAAAATCCGCCATCCTTACCCAGTCTGGCCTAGACGTGTCTCCAGACATACAGCAATATGACTGACTCTTAAATGCCCTTTGCAAGAGCAAAGCAAACCTGTACGAAGGCAATTAGATGGCCAATATTTGTTGTCCAACCCAGAGAAGTTCAAATCCTGTGTAAAAATAAATACTACAAAAACTAAAATTGTAAAAGAGTTGATGCAAATTTTGAATGATAGCCTCTTTCGTGGTTTCTATTTATTCATGAGATGTCGGCATCACTGGCTGGACCAGCACTCATTGGCCATTCCTTGTTGGTCCTTCAGAAGATAGGCTGCCTTCTTGAACTGAACTAGACCCACATGCTGTTATGGAGGAAGTTCCAGGATTTTGGCCCAGCAACACTGAAGGAATGGTGATATATTTCCAAGTGAGGACGGTGAGTGGCTTGGAGGGGAACTTGCAGGTGGTGGTGTTCCCATGTAACTGCTGCCCTTGTCCTTCTAGAGGATAATGGTCATGGGTTTGAAGTTGCTGTAGGAAAAACTTGCTGCATCTTTTAACACCATGCCCCCTTTCAGTATGAGACTTAGGTGCAAAAATGTTTTTCTCTCAGTGGGTCATGGACAAGGACTTCCTTTGTATTCACCTATGCTACAGGACAACATAATGCAGAGGTGTGCCATTACCTTCTGCAGGATGGCTGACCAGGAGACCCTCCCACTCTTAATGTTGTCATCCAGCATATTGGAAGGATTTACAGGCTGGTAATCAACCTGCTTAACTACGTTACAAATTAATCTTAAATAGCCAAAAGGTAAGACTTGAACCCAAAGGTGGTAACACTATCAATACATCACAAGCCGTCCCTACTTCATCTTTCTATTCCATTCTCCTTTGTGTTTATCTAACTTCCCTTTAAATACATTTGAACTATTCAATCACTTCCTGTCATGGTCCCACATTCAAACCACTCTCTGAACAATTCCCTAGCAAATTCATTAAGTGATGAGTCATTGACATTTATTATTTTGCAGATTGAATAATTTGTCGTGAAAGTCCTGTTCATCCTCAACTGAGATTTTCTTCTTTATCATTATCCCTAGCTGTCCTGTTTAATTTGGCATCTCATTGTCACTGTTGGTGACTCTTTTGAAGCTCTTTATCCAAGTAATTAGTTTGGGTTATTGGTTTAAATGCAATCAGGCCACATCCTAATCCTGTTGATCCACTCTTGCTTTTAGTTCCATTCCCAGTAGACATTCATCAGCGTATATTCGTTTGCATGTAATCATTAATGTATGGGGTCAGGAAACAGTCATTGTATGCACTAGCTTACTGGACTTGTCCACTTCATGTTGGTTTGACTTAAACTCCCTATCCTGTTATTTATTCTTTCATGAGATGTGGTTATCACTGACATTTGTTGCTCATCCCTAATTGCCTTTGAACTGACCTTGCCATTTCAGAGGGCAGTTATATTGCAGTGGGCCTGAAATAAGGGAGGCAGTGGGGTAATAATAATGTCACTGGACTAGTAACGTTCTGGATTCATGCTCTGGGATCATGCGGTCAAATCCCAGCATGGCAAATGGTAAAATTTCAATTCAACGAAAAGCTAGCCTTCTGTTGATTGTCATAAAACCTGATTTAGTTCATTAATGCCCTTTAAGGGAGGAACTTTGCCATCCTTACCTGGTCTTGAATGTATGACTCCAGAACCACAGCAACTCCCCTCTGGGCATTTAGGGGCAGGGAATAAATTCTGGCAGCCATCACATGAATTGGATGTGAAAATAGGAGGCGTGGTTAATAAGTTTGCAAATGAAACCAAAATAGGTGGTGTAGTGGACAGTGAAGAAGATTATCTCGGAGTACAAAGGGACCTTGATCAGATGGATCAATAGGCTGAGGATTGGCAGATGAAGTTTAATTTCGATAAATGGGAGGTGTTGAAATTTGGTATGTCAAACCAGGGCAGGAGTTATACAGCTAACAGGGGTGCCTTGAGGTGGTTTGCCGAACAAAGAGACCTAGGGGTGCAGATACATAGTTCACTGAAAGAGGAGTCACAGGTAGACAGGGCAATGAAGCAGACGTTTGGCACGCTTGCCTTGATTGGTCAGAACATTGATTGTAGTAGTTGGGACTTCACATTGCAGCTGTACAGGACATTGGTGAGGCCACTTTTAAAATGTTGCATACAATTCTGGTTGCCCTTCTTTAGGAAGGATATTTTTAAATGTGAGAGGGTGCAGAAAAGATTTACAAGGATATTGCTAGGACTGGAGGGTTTGAGTTTACAGGGAGAAGGTGAATAGGCTGGGGCTATTTTCCCTGGAGCATTGGAGGCTGAGGAGTGACCATATAGAGGTTTATAAATCATTACAGGCATGGATTGGGTGAATAGCCAGGGTCTTGTCCCTAGGGTGGGGAAGTCCAAAACTAGAGGGCATAGGTTTAAGGTGAGGGGAAAGATTTAAAAAAGACCTGAAGGGTAATTTTTTCACACAGAGGGTGGTGCTTGTATGGAATGAGCTGCCAAAGGATTTGATGGAGGCAGGCACAATTGCAACATTGAAAAGGCATCTGGATGGGTATATGAATAGAAAGGGTTTAGAGGGAGATGGGCCAGATGCTGGCAAATAGTTCAGATTGAAATATCTGGTCAGTGCCGACAAATTGCACTGAAGGGTCTGGATCTGTGCTGTATGATTCAATCACACTGTGAATTAAAAAAAACCGTAGGCCAGACCAGGTAAGGACGCTGGGTTTCCTTTGCTAAAAGACATTTGTGAACCAGATGGGCTTTTACAACAATCCAGTCATTGCAGTGTTGTTATTAATGAGACTGAATGATTTTATTCACTGGTGTATTAATGACCTGAATTTAAAAGTTGGAATTCCTGTCTCCTGCATATCAGTCCAGACCTGTGGGTTATCAGTTCTGTTACATTATTGGTACACCACCATTTATGTATCAAGGGACTGCTGCGAAAGTTCATCAGTCTGATTCCTGGGATGACAAGATTGTTGTATGAGGAGAAATTGAGTTGATCCGTTTGCTTAAAAAATGAAATTTAGAAGAATGAGGGGGTCTCATTGAAACATATAGAGCTCTGACAGGGTAGGAGGCAAGGATAATATTTCCCCTGGCTGTGGGGTCTAGGACAAGGGCACCTGAGGGGCCATGGCTAAGGATATGGGGACTGGGCATTTCAGACTGTGATGAGAAATTTCTTCACTCATTCAATGGCAAACCTGTGGAATTCTCTGACACAGAAGACTGTGGAAGGCAAGTCACAATATATTTAAGAAATAAACAAAGATTTCTAGACACTAAAGGGGTACAGGAGAGAGCGGGGCCATGGCATTGAGATAGAGGTCTAGCTATGGTCACGTTGAACAGCAGAGTGCTATAGATGGGCAGAATGGCCCACCATCGCTCCTTAACCCCTCCCGCCCCCAAAGAGTGACCTACTCAAGTTACAAACTGTGCTGAGAGGATGCACTAGGGTTTTACTGCTGGGAATAAAGCAGTTCGGGACGAGTGACAGAGCTGGGTTGGTGTCTGATTCCCTCTTATGCTCCGCCTCTGACTGAGAGCAGTGAGAGAGAGCGATCCGAATCCGCCGCATAGACCCAGCGGGTAAGTCTGCGCCAATGCGGGTTTGCGAAATGCGCTAACGAATTCTGATTACAGGTAACGACACCCACATACCCCACCTCACCTCCCCTCCCTCCACCCCCAAAGGAAACAGTCTCGCAGCCAGGAAAACTCTCTCCTTTGGGACATCTCATTGTCAAATTCACATGAAATTGACGCGCGATGGATTATAAACCTAGAAACAAATACATTTCAACGTCGCCGTCAGTTTCCTGTTTTGTACCGAGGAAGGTCCTGGCGAACGCCTAAACGGACCTTTTGTTGTTGTAATTGATATTAACACTGGACATTTTTCGCTGCTGATATGGGCGAATGCAGACCTCTCCCTGTGTTGTGTCTGTTTCTGGGCTGGTGTAATTTAGTCACGTCGCTAGAAACGAGTTTGTGCTAATCGCAATTTCGCTCTGTTCTTTGCACGTTCATTGAATTTCAACAGCAGATGGGCAATAGGCGATGCTGTCCTTGGCACAGAGTGAATCGGGATACCGAGACAGGTTAGACTTTCAGAGCGGCAACTCTATCAGAATATAACGGGAACCAAATGAAAAATTCAACCCGGACTGACACAAGGGAAAGAAACAAAAGCGCTACCACCTTCGTTAATCCACCTTGTGTCTGACAAACACCGCAAAGGCTTCTAACACTGTCTTGGAGATTAGTTCTCAAGACACTGCGTATTTCTCACTCCTGTTAAAGACGAAGGTTATTAAATTAAAAACAAAAATGAAGGAAATCAAATCGCGGCTTATTCAAGAGCTGACTGATCCTGTTGGAGGACCGAGCTGATAGATAAAAGCAAAAACACTGCGGATGTTACAAATCCTAAACGGACACAGACAATTGCTGAAGAAACTCAGCAGGTCTGGCAGCATCTATGCAGAGAGAGAAAAAAGCCAGTTCATGTTACGAGGCTGGTCTGACTGTTCTTAGGAGCTCCTGCTGGAGCCGGTGGGTGAAGGAGAGATGAGAGGGATGGTGGTCTGGCCAGGCAAGCATTGGAGTAGTCTTCCAGAGGTAACAAGGCAAGGGGGAGGGGTTCGGCAGCTGAGAAACTGAGGCCCAGGCAGGAGTCAGACCATTGAAAGGGAATGTTTTTCCTGGTGCAGTGATTGTGAGGAGGTCAGCTGGGTGGACCTCATAGAATATGAGGTTCCCTGATTGGGGCTATTAATATAATCCAATCAGGGAGCCCTGGCTGACAGATATAAACAGAAGTGTTGGAGGTTCTGTTCACTCTGGGGGGGCCTGACCAGTGTCAATTACTACGCACACGTAAATAAAGGGTAATGGGATACTGGCCTCAGTGGAGTTATTTCATGTGGTAATATAATCCAGAAACCCAGAATACCGCTCTGGGTACAGACATTCAAATCCCACACTATCACGGCTTTTTTAAAAAAATTACTGGTTCATAGGATGTGGGCATCACTGGCTAGGCCAGCATTAATTACCCATCCCTATTTGCCCAGAGGGCATTTAAGAGTCAACTCCATTGGACTCACATGTAGGCCAGATTCATTAAGGATTGGTTTCCTTCCTTAAAGGACATTACTGAGCACAGGGATTTTAGGACAATGGTCACATGGTCACCATTCAGCCATCATTTTAACTCCAAATTTTTATTGAATTCAGATTTCACCATCTGCCGTGATGGGATTCAAACATATGTCCCCAACACATATGCCTGGGGTTCTAGATTATTAGTGCAGTGATTGCCAAACCGCTCCATCATTGCCTCCCCTTCAATTCAATTCATATACAGCTGGTTATGGCACCCATGAAACCCCATCTGACACCTTGCATTGAATTAAATCTACTGTCCTTAACTCGTTTGGCCTACATGTAACTACAGGCCCACAGTGATGTGGCGGACTCTTAACTGCCCTCTGAAATGGTCCAGCAAGTACCTCTGTCCAAGGGCATTTAGCGGTTGACAACAAATGATGGCCTTACCAGCAAGGCTGAATGAATAATAAGCAGTTATGTAGATGAAAGTAGCCAGTTGTAGTTGGAGGCTATTTGGCAAATAAAGTGAAGAATCTGATTTAATCTCAGACAATTTTCAGTAAGTTGGATGGAGTCAGCTAGGGAACTGAATTTGTTATGAATATAGGTTTTGCTGGCTAAGATATCATTTACTGACCATCCCTAGCTGCCCTTAAGCTGTCTTCTTGAACCACAGCAGTCCATCTGGTGGAGGTACACTCACGGTTCTGTTAGGATGGAGGTTCCAGGATTTTGACCTTAACAACAGTGAAGGAATAATGATATATTACAAAATCAGGATGGTGTGTGACTTAGAAGGGAACTTGCCAGTGATGGTGTTCCCATGCACCTGCTGCCCTTGTCCATCTAGATAGTAGTAGTCATGAGTCTGGAAGGTGCTGTCGAAGAAGCCTTGCTAAGTTGCTGTAGTGCACCTTGTGAATGGTACACACTGCTACTACTGAGCATCAGTTGGTGAAGGTAGTGAATATTGAAGGTGGTGGATGGGCTGTTTATCAAACTGATGTTTTGTCATAAAAGAGCTACTTAAATATTGTTTGAGCTGCACTCATCCAGGCAAGTAGACAGTATTCCATCACACTCCTGACCTGCACTGTATAGATGGTGGACAGGAATTTGGGGAGTCAGGAAGTGAGTTACTTGCTGTCAGATTCCTGTTCTAGTAAACCCATTATTTATATGGTTAGTCCAATTTTATTTTGGACCAATGGTGAATACCCTACTCCAGATGCTGATAGAGATTCACAATTGTGATGCCATTGCCTGTCAAACGGAAGTGTTTAGCTTCTCTCTTGTTCATGATGGTCATTACTTGGCCATTTAATAAATTAATGTTGACCAAATCTTACTGCATATGGGAAAGAACTGTTTCAGTATCTGAGGAATTGTAAGACTGAGGACAATGGCTCCAGACTTCCCAATACTTAATTGGAGGAAATTTTTACTCATGTGGAACTGAATGTTGGTTAAGTGGACTAACAATCTAGAGAGAGTGGATGTTTGTAGAGAGATGGAGTTGGGCAGGTACAGCTGGGTGCAACCTGATTCCAGGTAGAAACTGACTCTGTGATTTCAGATAATCTCACCAAGGGGCAGTTTCAATGAGATCACTTCTCATGTTTTGAAACCCTAGAGAATACAGGCCAGGTTTGTCCAATCTGTCTTCATTGGACAGTCCTGCCATCCCAGGAACAACTCTGGTGAAGTTTTGTTGCACTCTCTTTAGAATAATAGCATCTTTGCTGAGATAAGGAAGCCAAATCTGCGCACAGAACTCCTGGTATGGTCTAACGAAACGTGAAGGAACAACATTATTAAGCTAGAGATGGTTCAGAAGAGATTTACCAAGATGTTGCTGGATATGGATGGTCTGAGTTATAAAGAAAGGCTGGGACTTTTTTTTCACTGGAATGTAGAAGGTTGAGACGGGACCACGTAGAGGTTTATAAAATCATGAGGGGTATAGATAGGGTTAATGGTAGGTGTCTTTTCCCCAGGATGGGAGATTTCAAGACTAGGGGGCACATTTTCAAGGTGAGAGGAGAGAGATTTAAAAAAGACATGAGGGGCAAATGTTTTACACAGAGGATGGTTTGTGTGTGGAATGAACTTCCTGAGGAAGTGGTAGATACGGGCACAGTTACAATGTTTAAAAAACACTTAGATAAGTACATGTATTGACAAGGTTTGGAAGGATATGGGCCAGGATCAGGCAGGTGGAACTAGTATAGTTTGGGATTATGTTCAGCATTGACTGATTGAACCAAAGCATCTGTTTCCGTGCTATTAGACTTTATGATTTCACCACTCCTGTATGCAAATCCTTTTGCAATAAAGGCTAACAATCCATTAGCCTTCACAGTAACTTGCTGCAATTGCATGTTAACCTTCAATGACATATTGACATGATCACCTTTTGTCCTTTTGTACGTCTACACTTTCCACCCTCTATTTAAGAAATACTCCACACATCTGTTTCTCTGATCAAACTGGATAACCTCATACTTTTCCACATTATATCTTGTCTGCCATGTTTTTGTTCATTCACTAAACCTATCTAAATTCTCCTGAAGCCACTTTTACACCTTCCTCACACGTTCCCACTTAGCTTTGTATCATCTGCAAATTTGGAAATACTATATTTGGTCTCCACTTCCAAATCATTGATTATAAATTACTACGGTCTCGGTATAGATCCTTGCAGTAAATTATTATCTTATTTTATGTTAGTAAATTTATATTTATTGATCAGGATTCCCTCATGCTCACCAGCCTATAACATGTGAATATTATGCCTTGACAACAAAGCTAACTTAATTCAATTCAACACTGTACATCTGCACATTCATTTCACACTCTAACACTCAACATCTCCTCAAGCTTCAATCCCTTGACTGGGAAAGGCACTCATTAACAGGAAATCCTTTCTTTTTAAAACATCTGTATTGGCTTGATAACAAGGTGTAGAACTGGATGAACACAGCAGGCCAAGCAGCATCAGAGGAGCAGGAAAGCTGACATTTCGGGTCTAGACCCTTCTTCAGAAATTGGGGAGGGGAAGGGGATTCTGAAATAAACAGGGAGAAAGGGGGAGGCGGATAGAAGATGGATAGAGGAGAAGATAGGTGGAGAGGAGACAAACAGGTCAAGGAGGCGGGTTTTGAGCCAGTAAAGGTGAGTGTAGGTGGGGAGATAGGGAGGGGATAGATTGGTCCAGGGAGGACAGACAGGTCAAGGGGGCGGGATGAGGCTAGTTGGTAGGAGATGGGAGTGGGGCTTGAGGTGGGAGGAGTGGATAGGTGGAAGGACAGGTTAGGGAGGCGGGTATGAGCTGGGCTGGTTTTGGGATGCGGTCGGGGGAGGGGAGATTTTGAAGCTTGTGAAGTCCACATTGATACCATTGGGCTGCAGCGTTCCCAAGCGAAATATGAGATGCTGTTCCTGCAACCTTCGGATGGCATCGTTGTGGCACTGCAGGAGGCCCAGGATGGACATTTCATGTAAGGAGTGGGAGGGAGAGTTGAAATGGTTCACGACTGGGAGCTGCAGTGGTTTGGTGTGAACCAAGCGTAGGTGTTCCACAAAGCGGTCCCAACAAAATAACATGTTGTCAGAGACTAAGTAAATTTTATTATTTGTAATAATCATAATTGTTCTCTATTTTATCTGGTGTCCCTGCTACTGGAAAGCTGTTGTTAAACTTGAGAGGTTGCAGAAAAGATTTACAAGGATGTTGCCAGGATTGGAGGGTTTGAGCTATAGGGAGTGTCTGAATAGGCTGGGGCTTTTTTCCCTGGAGCGTCGGAGGCTGAGGAGTGACTTTATAGAGGTTTATAAAATCATGACAGGCATGGATAGGGTGAATAGTCAAGGTCTTTTCCCGAAGGTTTGGGGAGTCCAAAACTAGAGGGCATAGTTTTAGGTGAGAAGGGAAAGATTTGAAAGGGACATAAGGGGCAACCTTTTCACACAGAGGGTGGTGCACGTATGGAATGAGCTGCCAGAGGAAGTGGTGGAGGCTGGTACAATTACAGCATTTAAAAGGCATCTGGATGGGTGTATGAATAGGATGGGTTTAGAGGGATATGGGCCAAATGCTGGCAAATGGGACTAGATTAATTTAAGATACCTGGTCAGCATGGATGAGTTGGACTGAATGGTCTGTTTCTGAGCTGTACAACTCTATGACACTATTATTTTACCACTAAAATATTTAAGGGACCATTAATGTGGGTAACGTACTTCTGAGCAAATGAAAATGGTTGTATGTTTTTTTTCTTAATATTTGTTCCTTGATTGGTTCCTCTACTCCTGTTGCCCTACTTGGTAATCGAAAGCCTAATCCCCTGTATATTTTCTCACTCTGCATGCATCAGCAGTTTTTCTGTTGCTGCTGATACAATTGGAAATGTTCTGTAGCTCAATCTTGAAAGGACTGGCTGTTGCTAGGCTAATCTGTAATTTTAACTCGTGTCAGCATGTCTTAATTCTTTCGTTTTATAGGCTCTCTTAACACTGTTTTACATTCTTCCTTACATTTGTAATCCTGTCTTCCTTTCAGCGGTCTTGCTAACGACAACAACTTATATTTATGTAGCACCTTTAATGCAATCAAATATCCCAAGGCACTTCACAGAAGCACAATTGAGTTAAATATGACACCAAGTCACTTTAAGGGAATAATTAGGCCAGATGACCAAAAGCCTAATAAAAGGTGGAGGTTTTAAGAAGTAAAAAGGTAAAGTTGTCTTCATCCTACCAGACCACAAGATCTGTTGATCTCTCACAAGAGTGAGGTGACTACTGGTGGTTTACCCTGAGGGTCACCACACTTCAGGTGAGGGGAGAGGTTGAGAAGGAGCGTCCTTCATGGTAACCTCAGCCAGTGCAGGATTTTATAAAAAAATCATTCACGGATTGAGAGCATCATTGGCTAAGCCTGCATTATTGCTCATCCTTTAATTGTCTGAAGGGCAGTTAAGAGTCAACCACATTGCTGTGAGTCTGGAGTCACGTGTACCCAGACCAGGTAAGGAATGAACCCACAGTGTTAGCATCACAATTCTGCATCACAAACAAGCTGCCAGGCCAAATGAGCTAGTTTGTGATGCAGAATGATGCCAACAGCACTGGCGCAATTCCTGCATCACCTGAGGTTACTATGAAGGCTCCATCTTGTCAACGTTGTCCCTTGCCTTTGGTGTGGTGACCCTCAGGTTAACCCATCACCAATCAGCTTCTCTCGAATGAGAGCACGGCTATATAGACTGCTAGGACTATGGAGACTTTAAGGAGGGTATTAAAGGAAGAAAGTGACATAGAGCGGTGGAGAGATGGATGGAGGGAAATTCCAGAACTTGGGAGTCTTGGCCACGAAAGCACTGCCACCTAGTGGTGGAGCGATTAATACTCAAGAGGCCAGAATGAAGGAAAGTAGATATTTCAGAGGCAGGGCAGAGATTACAGAGATAAGGAGGAGAAGGATTTGAAAATAGAGATGAAAACTTTAGAATCAAGATGTTGCTTGACCTGGGGCCAAGGTGGGTCAATTCCATCCCATCAATCACTTCTAATATTCACTGCCTTCATCGCTGGTGCAGAGCAGGAGCAGTGTGTACCATCTACAAGATACACTGCAATAACTCACCAAAACCTCTGTTGTATGATGTAATGGGTCTGAAAGGCTTAATGTTGGAGACTGCATTAAACTCCACCCAATATGATGATATCATAAGGATGTAGGTGGGAAAGGCAGAGAATCTTGCAGGTCTCCCAATAGTCTGAGTAACAATGACTAACTTAGTAATATAACTCGTACCTGGTTGTATTCAAACAATAAACTACATCACTATTACTGTAAACGAAGTATGTCCTTAGGATCAGTCAAGGAAATGTGATGGTGGCAGCAAACTACCTAAGACACAAGTTGATAATGGTTTGCATTATGGGATGTAAATGAGCTCCTTGGACAGCACCTTCAAAACCCACAACCTCTGCCATCAACAAGGACAAGGACAGCAGCTGTGTGCGTGTGAACATGCCATTTCCCAACACTATCCTGACTTGAAATTGTATCGCCATTCCTTCAGCGTCACCGGGTCAAAATCGTTGAATTTACAGCCCCAACAGCACTGTGAGGAGGTGGGGGTTGGGTTGGGGGGCGTGGGGGAATTGTACCTACACCGGATGAACTGCAGTGGTTACAGAAAGTGGCTTTCAACCACCATCTCAAGGACAATAAAGAGGCAAAAAATATTTGTTTATAGAATGAATTTTTAAAAGTCTTGACTTATTTCAACATGCAGGAATGGCTTTTTTTTGTTGTTGCTGTTATAGTTGGAATGTTTTGTTGCTGAGTCCTAAATAGCTGTTGCTAGGCTCAATCTGTAACTCTCAATTTCTCTCTCTCCCCCTCTCAACCTCTTGCTCTCTCTCTCTCAGTTATGCATCAAGAATACTGAGCCTCAGAGGCCAGAATGGTCAGTCTTTGCTGAGTTAGTTGACCTCATTCGGGGAGTATGAGGCCTGACTGAGGAAGGTTCGTACTCCTGATTGTTATCCAGTGAGTCTGGATGAGAACGGGATGAGACGCGGCAATGATGCACTCTGCAGGCAAGTGTGGTTCAGCCAAACCTTCAGACACGAAGGATGGCTCTTTGGACAAGGGTCTAAGTGGTTATCGACTGGTGTTTATCCTGTTCCCGTTTGTGGGATACTGCCGTGCACAAACTGACTGCCAAAGTTTCCTACAACATTTCTGAAGTCCTGCATTGAGCGTAAAGCATTTAGCAATATCCCGAAAGTTGTGAAAGATGCTATATAAACGCAAGATTTTCTTTTCCTTCCGTGAGTGCTGTTCAGTGTGCTGGGTGGGCAAGGTAACCTTGTTTGTAACTCTATCTTTCCCTTTTTTCTTTGTACAGCTGTGGGGTTCGATTCTTGCGAGTGCATGATCCCACGCCTTGCTTTAGTCGCAACCGATCTGGGTCAGAAAGAGATGGATTATCATTTCCCAGAACCCTGAGAATTACAGCACAAGAGAAGACAAAGCGGGGGATGTTTTGAGTTTAGCCTCAGCAGCTGAATTCCCATTAAATTATCCCATCTCCCAGACGGTGGGCTTTAGGGCTTGTGCTCCCAAGGTGGGCACACACGACACAAATGGTTTGAGGCGGGGGGTAGGATCCAGCTGGTGTTTGGAGACTGTAAGTAGGTGCAGGGGTGTGGAAGTTGGCGAGGGTGGGGGAGGTGAGGTGCTGGTGAAAGAAAAGATTTTGAACCTTTGCCACACTGCATTAAAAGAAAAGAGAAACTTCGAAAAATTGGAGGAGTGGTTGCCAGGAACACAAAGAAAGCAGGGCATTCAGAAGACACTAGGCAGGAGTCCAAATGCGGGGGATGGAGTTTCAGACCCTCTTCCAGTTTTAAATGGAGAAGGGATAGGGGTGTTGTTGGAAATGATGCTGTCAGACCGCCCATTCTATGGTGCCGGCTGCCTGGCACCGCCCACCGGGGACTTAGTGTGCAGGCTTTCTCCTCAAGCCAAGGCTGACCATTGCCCATGGGTCCCACTCAGCCCAGGTGGGAAAGCACAATGGCAAGGTAATGGCTGCTGCTGGAGACGTGCCCCTCTCAAATCAGTAGAGGATTGTGCCCAGACTGTACCCCTTCCTGCCTGTCCCCTCAGTGAGAGGCTTGAAGGAGATGGCAACCTGGATGCCAAAGGACCAAGTGGGGTTGTCCTTGGACCCACTGTGGAGCCAGAGGAAAGGCACTGCCGTGGATTCGGTCACATGATGGAGACAGACATTGAGCTGTTTACTAAATCTGGTCCCAAAGTGGAGGGAGTGGATGGACACTGTCCTCCAACTGGCTGCACACCAGATGCATGCGTTGGGTCATATCATGCAGCTGGTCCCACAGCGGAGGCAGGGTGTGGGCTGTATCATGGAGCTGGTCCCACAGCGGAGGCAGGGGGTGGGCTGTATCATGGAGCTGGTCCCACAGCGGAGGCAGGGGTTGGGCTGTATCATGGAGCTGGTCCCACAGAGGAGGCAGGGGGTGGGCTGTATCATGGAGCTGGTCCCACAGCAGAGGCAGGGGTTGGGCTGTATCATGGAGCTGATCCTACAGCGGAGGAAGGGATTAGGCTGTATCATGGAGCTGGTCCCACAGCAGAGGCAGGGGATGGGCTGTATCATGGACCTGATCCCACAGCAGAGGCAGAGGGTTGGCCCTGTGATGGAATTGATCATAGAGTGGAGAAAGAGTGTAGGCCATATCATGGAGCTGGTCACAAACAGGCTGTGATCTCACAGGCTCTTACAAGATCTGCTTCAAAAGACTGTGCAATTAAAGAACTGACAGAACCTCACAAACACCAATGGAGGTACCAGAACGTTCAAGATGTCGAGGGGAATGTTATCACAGTAACTGGTCCATCAGAAATCCAACCACATCCATCCTGCGAGGGCACCGCAGGGCTTACAGACCCGGTAACTATGGAAACAGGCACTGTGGGAGACCAGGCCCAGTTATGTGATGCCACCCAGGCAAAGGAGAAAGTTGGTGATGGGGACTGTGAAGATGAGTTCGGTATGTTTGAGAAGGCGGGGAACCTGGTGCAATGGGCTGAATTTCCAGGCCCTCTGGGACTGGAGTGTGAGACACCACATGAGCACAGCTATACTGCAGCTGGATGGAGTCAGGAGTCAGGCGAGGACATGGTGACCTGCAGAATGTGGAGGCCCACGTCTGAGAACACGGCAACCGAAACAGACATGGAAAAAAGTGTGCATCCAGGAGCAAGTCTTCATGGTAAACAGTGAGCACCCAAAAACTGGGCAGTCTGGTGGGTTGGTATGAATCTTGGGCTGGATTTTGTGTTTGATGGCATGGCAGGGAGGTAGAAGGAAGATGGTCAACCCAACCCCAGTGTCACATGATGTTGGACCTGGCATTGGTGGCCAATTAGCAACTAGGCAACAAGAATGCCACCAATTAGAGCAGTGCAGGGGAGGCTGTGGGGTAAATTGAGAACCTAGAGAAGGTTGGGAGCAGATGCGCAGTTAGCCCATGCATTGGTCAGTGGTCCTGGCCAGCAAATTTAACGCCCCTTGTGCTCTCATTTTCTCACAGATTAGAATAATTACAGCACAAAAGGAAGCCATTTTGTTCAATGAGGCTGTACTGGCTCCTTGCAATTTACCTCCTGCCACTCCTCCGCAAATTTCCTGTAGCTCTGCAAATATTTTTCTTTCAGGCATTAAACCAATTGTCCTCTGAAACCTTTCAGGCAGTCTACTCCACATTCTAACCACTCATAGAGTCATACAGCATGGATCCAACCCTTCAGTCCAACCAGTCCATGCCAAACATAACCCCAAACTAAACTAAGCCTGCCTGCCTGCTTCTGGCCCATATCCCTCCAAACCTTCCCTATTCATGTACTTATCCCAAGTGTCTTTTCAATGTTGTAATTGTGCCCACATCCACCACTTCCTCAGGAAGTTCATTCCACACAAGAGCCACCCACTTGTGTAAAAAATTTGCCCCTCATGTCTTTTTTAAATCTCTCTCCTCTCACCTTAAAAATGTGCCCCCTAGTCTTGAGATCCCCCACCCTAGGGAAAAGACACCTACCATTAACCCTCCAAACATTTCTTATTCATGTATTTATGTTGTAACTGTACCTGCGTCCATCACTTCCTCTGAACTTACCACTTCTTTCACCTTAAAAATATGCCCCTTAGTCTTGAAATCCCCCCTTCTAGGGAAAAGACACCTGCCATTCACCTTATTACTCACTATGCCAAAAAAACTTTGACATGCTCAGTTTGATTCTTTTGCTAATCGTGTTAAAATCTATGTTTTCTGGTTCTCAACTTCTGCGCCAATGGACCAGTTCTGCATCTGTACTCTGCCTAGACCACCTCCTGATTTGAACACATCTATCAAATCAGCTCTCAACCTTTTCCTTTCCAAGGAAAGGAGCTCAGCTTCTCCAATCTGCCACTGTAACTGAAATCTCTCATCCCTTGAATCATTCTTGTAAATATTTTCTACTCCCTCGCTCAATCCCTCACAATTTCCCTGTACCGTGTTGCCCAAAATTGGACATAATACTCTGGTTGAGACTGAACTTTTTGTTTATAAAGGCAAATCACAACTTCCTTTTTTATTGTTGCTGTATGCCTCTACTTATATCGCCTGGGATTGTGTATTCTTTTCTGAGCACCTTCCTAAACTTTCCTGACACTTTCAATGATTTTTGCATAAATATTCCTTGGGAAACCCCTTTTCCAGCAGTTCCTTTCCCATTGCAATTTTAAGTTTATATAGCCTCTATAGAAATATTTGCCTCCTTTAGTCCTATCTTTCTTCTATAAGTTGCAGGATTTTCAAATTCAAATCTCACACAATTGTGTGACCGGTCACTTGACAGTGTAGAACTTGAGCATTGCTGAAAAAAAGACACATTTTATCAAAGTGTTGCACTCATCAGGACAATTCACAAAACGGTATCAAAGTCAATGGGAACAAAAACAGAAATTGCTAGAAAAGCTCAGCAGGTCTGGCAGCATCTGAGGACAGAAATCAAAGTTAATGTTTCGGGTTGAGTGACCCTTCCACAGTTCTGTTTTAGTTTCTGATTTACAGCAATTCTTTCGGTTTTCAATGTAAACAGGAACCAACATATCTGTACTGAATGAGAAAAAGATACTGAGTAATTGGCGAGTTGACCCTAATTGGACTCAAATTGGTACAGTCATTGCAATGGAGAGTGTACGGTTAGACAAAAACTGACACTTAACTGCCAAGTTTTGTTTAAATTTAAAGCTGGCAGATTGACTCTAATTCATCAAGGCATTGCCTGGAGGAATGATCCAGAGAATGGCTAATGTCTATTTTGTTGAGTTGAAACAGGCATATTGTATGCACTTGTTCTTTCTGTCTGCAAAGAACAGGCCTCTGTGTATTAACGAACATGGCATCCAGTACCCACAGTGTATCATACTGCAAGTGAAATTGACAATTTTAAATGTACAGTCAGCATAATCTTTAGCACACTCTGAACATTTGCTAAAAATCTTATCACAAAATCGCATCTAATGCTAAATATTGTGGTTAGAGTTTGCAAAGATGGCATGGTTGGGTAAAGTCAGCACCTTATCTGTTGTAAACAAGTCAAGGGACGTGCTATTTGATACTATCCACCCACATTCCCTCTAATTTCTTCAATTGCTACTTAGACCTCAGGTCCGTGTATGATAGCGGCTGGAGAAACCAGAAGTGAATGTATCGGTGTGAGTAGACCATCGGAGAAGCTGCATGGCTGCTCTGAGAGGAACATAGTTTGAAACATACCCAGGCCTACACACCAAGTTGATGAGTTAACCATTTGGCTTTGTTTTTAAAGCATTCCGATAATTTCAATGATATGTAAAGCACAGCATGTTGGTTTAGTGTGGTCACAAACAAGTATTTAGTTGTTATCAACTGCGGTTTCATGACAGTGTAAATGGATTAATTTCCCATTATTGCAGGCACCAGTTAGGTCAACAGGGAGAAGGAAATTTGCAAAAGTGTACTTCTGTACCACTCCCATTTCGCAAGTTGGGCACTGACCTGTGGAATGGAGCATGCAGCCTGAACACTGGGAAGGCTGAAGCCATTGTTTTCAGTTCCTGGTCTAAACATTGTTCCTTAGTTGCTGAATCCATCCCTGACCCTGGCAGGAGTCTGTGACTAAACCAGTCTGTTCACAACTCTACTACCTGGTTTGACCCTGAGATGAGCCTGCAATGGCATCATGAAGACCACCTATTTCCACTGCAGTTCTGTGGTCCGATTTTGCCTTGTGTACAAACATACAATTTAATTATAGGAGCAGGCCATTCAGCCCCTTAAGCCTGCACCATCATGCAATGAGATCACAACTGATTTGATTATAGCCTCAACTCCACCTTCCTGTCTTCCTTTGATTTCCTTGTCAATCAAAACTGTATCTACTTCAGGCATTTACCATTTTCAATGCCCTAGTCTCCGCTGCTCTATGAGGAAGAGAGCTTCACAGACTTGTGACCCTCTAGGGGAGAGCCATTCTCCTCACCTCCAGCTTATTTTTAAACAGCATCCCCTAACTCAAGTCTGGCAATACAAGGGGAAACATATATTCAGCATTTTCTTATCAGGTCCTCTCAGAATGTTGTTTCAATTGAAAACTTTTCATTCTTTTAAACTCCAACAGATACAAACCTGATCTGTTGAATTTTTCCTCGTAAGATAACCCCATAATTCCAGGAATCAGACACAGAAACCTTCTCTGAACTGATTCTAATGCATTTATGACCTTTCTTAAATAAGGAGAACAAAACTGTACTCTAGATTTGACTATTCCAAAGCATTTCTGGCTTGTTTTCCACATCCCATTATCTGTAAACTTAATTCCGTACAAAGTTCTGCTGCTTATGTCTCAACTGGTTAGCACTGCTGCCTCACAGCGCCAGGGACCCAGGTTCGATTCTACCCTTCGTGTCTGTCTGTGTGGAGTTTGCACATTCTCCCCGTGTCTGCGTGGGTTTCCTCTGGGTGCTGCGGTTTGCTCCCACAATCCAAAGATGTGCAGGTTAGTTGGATTGGCCATGCTAAATTGCCCTGTAGTGTCCAGGGATGTGTAGGCTAGGTGAGTTAGCCATGGGAAATGCAGGGTTAAGGGGATAGGGTGGGGTTTGCTGAGTGGGATGCTGTTTGGAGGATTGGTGCAGATTTGATGGGCCATATGGCCTTCTCCCATGCTGTAGGGATTCTATGGTTCTGCTCTAATTCACCTACATTAGCTCTAAGTTATGCAATGTCTTGATATTAAAATGCTTATTTTTTTTTCAAATCTCACCACACCTCACCCCTCTCCATCTTGGCAATTTTCACCAGACTCGCATCCCTCTGAGATATCCATGCCCCTCCAATTTTGGCCTTTTCACCAGTCGTGATTTTAATTTCTGTTCCACAGGTGGCTGTTTCTTCAATTGCCAAGGTCCCAATCCAAGGAATTCCCTCTTTAAATCTATCCTCTGGTCTACTTCACGTATCTCCTTTAATACGCTTCTTAAAACCTACCTCTGATGAGTCTTTCCATCATCTGAACCAAGCTACCCTTATGCGGCTCAGTGTCTTATTCATAATTCACCTATGAAGCACTTGGAATGTTAAAGGCAAAGTTTTTAGTGAAATTCTCATGTTCTGAATTCATGGTCAGTGCTATTCCCGGCATGGGCATGATAGACAAAATAGCCTGTTTCTGCAAGATGCTGTATCATGTATCAACTTATAACATTGGGGTTTGTAATGAATCAGCAGCACATTATGGCCATTCAGGTCTAGCACACTTTTATATTCATAAACTGGGTGTAAAAACCCATTGTTCTGATGGCACTGCATTCATACGGCATTTGTCCCAATTGCTAAAGCAAAGTCCCAGGGAGGGCAGAAGGAACTTGCTGCTTCACTCGTGAAATTTTACAACTCAAGGAGACCACTCAGCCCATTCAAAGGGCTATCCAATTAGTCTAACTATTTCCACTCTTCTCCTAATATCCTCCGGGTTTTTCCTTTTAAATGTAAGTATCCCAATTCCCATTCAAATTCTTCCATTGAGTCTGCTTCCGTTGTCCCCTCAGATCAGTGAAACATAGACTAGACTCCCTGCCCCAGACATCGCCCTGGCTCAGATCAATACAGAACAGGGATTCAGCCAGTTGTAATTAAAAATAAAGTACTGCAGATGCTGGGGATCTGAAGTAAAAGCAGAAAGTGCTGCATAAACTCAGCAGGTTTGGCAGCATCTGTGGACAGTGAAACAAAATTAACGTTTTGAGTCCAATCTAACTCTTCTTCAGAACTCAGTTTATTTCTGGAGATAAAAACAAAGTTAACATTTTGAATCTGATATGAGTGTTCTTCAGCCATAGTGGATTCATACTGGACTCGAAATGTTAACTTTGTTTCTCTCTCCACAGACATTGTCACACCTGCTGAGTTTCTGCAGCACTTTCAGTTTTTAGTTGAAACTGTTTAGTTTGCTGGTCTTGGCAGCTTAATTAAACTTTGAGGACAGCTTTGGTTAAATTTCCTTGTAGTTACAAGGTTGAGGGGGTGTCTAATTGAGATATTCAATAGGATAGATACAGAGCAACATTCCTTTGGTGTGGGAATTCAGTATATTGTAAAATCAGACTTAGGCCATCCAGGAACAAAATCAGGTGGCAGTTTATCACACAAAGGGTTGGGGAAATCTGAAACTCTCTAACTCCCTGAAAACACGTGAATACTGGGGCCAATTGAGCCTTTCAAGATAATCAGCAGGTTATTTTTGGCTAGGGATAATGGGGATATTAAGCAAAGGTAGGTAAATGGGCCTGAGATAGAGCTGATCTGTATGAGGGGTGCAGCAGGTCTTAAGGGGTTGAATGGCCTCATCCTCTTATGACCACAAGCATTACCCATTGTGCAATCAGGGAATCACAACTGTGCCTTCGTGTAGAGGCAGTGACCTGCAGGGAATTAGAAGCCGAGATCTGTTTTGTACAGGACGTTCATCTCTGATGTCTCACCCTCTAGGGTCTTCAAACAGAGCAGCAGAGAATTGGAGGAGCACGTGCCCACCCAGCTGCGTCACACCCGGTCATACCCAAACTTCTGAAAGTGGCTGGAGAGCATTCCACAGTGAAGACTGGCAGACCCAGGGCAGCAGCTTTGATGCTTTCCCCTTGAACAAGTGGGAGATAGAACAGCAGGGAACCAAAGCAAAGTGGTGGTCTGCTGCCCTGGAACGTCACCCATTCCAGCCAACACCATCTGCACAATCATCACTGGACAATGTAAGTCATTTCACAATGTATTGTAGATCATAGAACCCCTACACTGTGGAAACAGGCCCTTCGGCCCAACAAGTCCACACCAAACCTCAGAGCATCCCACTATAACCCATCTAATCTGCACATCCCTGAACACTATGGGCAATTTAGCGTGGCCAATCCACCTAGCCTGTACATCTTTGGACTGTGGGAGGAAACCGGAGCACCCGGAGGGGAGAATGTGCAAACTCCACACACACAGTCGCCTGAGGGTGGAATTGAACCCGGGTCCTGGTGCTGTGAGGCAGCAGTGCTAACCACTGAGCCACCATGCCATCCCACGCTGAACATATGCTGAACATTAGATGCCTGTAGCGATATGGAAGTGGGTCATTCAGCCCGAACCATCAACGTAACCCCTTTCCTGCCTATTTTCATCAAACACTATTGGCATATCCTAATATTCCTTATCCTTCATGTGCTTTCCTTAGCTTTGTTAAACCTTAGAGTTTAAATGCTAGTTAGATAGGGTCCAAGCATTTCCAGACAGAGTTTTATTTCAGCACAAACTCCATCTATACCCAGTAAGTACTCACCCAAACATCCTTTAATTAACATATAGCTATCATCTGTTCCCTAGTTCCACTACTCAGGCATCTCTGCCAGACCCTACTGGAAGATAATAAGCTTCTCCTCTAATGTTGGACCAATTGGTGTCTTCAGCTATTCAGATTGGTTGGTGCTGGCTCTGCCTCACAATGGTTTTCCCAGTGCTACTAAGATTTAAGTAAATAGCAAACTAGACCGCAATAGCAGACTAGAAAGTGAAGGATAATGATGCTTAATTAACAAGCTGGTGCTGTAACATTCTAACTTTAAGGCAATACTACAGCGGGTGCCAATGTAGACCAATGAGCACAGGAGCTAAACCTGCTGCGAATTAGGATGTAGACGACAAAATTTTAAATCAACTCAAATTTATGGAATGTGGATAATCTTTCCACGGAATTGAAGAGTCTGAAATAGAAGCAAAGAAGAATTCTCACCCTGATAGCTCCAGGGCGGATTGTCTTGAATGTGTTGCAATTGCTGCTTTGCCTGAGTTGTCTGTGTCTGTTTTCCAGGTTGGACTGGAGTCAGTGTTCCACACCTGTTTCCCAATGGTCTCTTCCACCAACTCGGGTGACCCAATCCCACCCCTTGGGCAGCTGCTGGGCACGAAGAAAGGGGGTGAAGGATTCCTGAGGTACAGTGAAGGGTCCCTTTGACGTTCCACACCATTTGCACATTACACTTTCAGCAACAGGAGACTTGCTGATCCAACCAGTCCAACATGTGGCAGGCCTGTATTTGCTAAGGAATCTGCTGTATATATTACATGGAATGATGTACAGAAATAGGCCATTCAGCCCATCAGGTCCAAAGTCCACACGAACGTCCTGCCATCCTATTTCATCTCATTTTATCAGTATACCTTCTACTCCTCTCTCCCTCAAGACACCTACGCTATTTGTCTCAATTACTCCTTGTAATCATAGAATCCCTACAGTGTGGAAGCGGCCATTCAACCCATCAAATCTGCATTGACATTCCAAAGAGCATTCCACCCAGACTCAACTGCCTACCGTATCCCTGTAACCCTACATTTCCCATGGCCAATCCACCCAGCCTGCACATCTTTGGACTGTGGGAGGAAACTGAAGCACCCAAAGGAAACCCACACAGACACGGGGAGAATGTGCAAACTCTGCACATACAGTCGACCAGTGGAATCGAACCCGGGTCCCTGGCACTATGAGGCAGCAGTGCTAACCACTGAGCCACTGTACCACCCTCATAGTAAGTTGAATAGTCTAGCCATTCTCTGACTGAAGATGCTTCATTTCGTTTCTCATTAGGGGTATTTATGGCTCCTTTGGTTTGGATTTCTCACACAAGTGGAAACATCTCCAAGTTTATCTTACCAAACTTCATCCTAATTCTATGCAGTCACCCTTAAGTCTTCCTTATTCTAGAGGATATCCCAGATATCATCACATTGCTATAGGAATAAAGGAAAATCTGCCATTCAACGAGATCAGAACTGATCTGCAACCTTCCCCACATTCCCATTTTTGCCCTATATGCTCTCATCCTTCAATTAGTCAACCAAAAGTTTACATTACCTCAAATTTAAAATGAACAATTGATCAGTTGCAGAGGAAAATTCTAAACTTCTACCTGTTGTTATGTGAAGAGTGTTTCCTGATTTTAATTCTGGAAAGTTTAGTTCTCATTAGTTATGCTCCACCCCCTGGTCTTAGACTCTCCAAGTAGCAAAACTCATTTTTCCAAATATACCCTATTTGTTTCCCTTTAACAGCTCGAAAACTTGATCAAATAAGTATATATTTTCTGCGTACTAGGGTTTACAAATCTAGTTGGTTCATTCTCCCTTTGTAGTTTAACCCTTGGAGTTAGGCAAATCCATACTGTGTTCCCTCCAAGGCCAATATATCCTTTCTCAGGTTTGCTGCCCAGACTGCTTCACATCAGTTCAAAAACCGTTAATTTAATCGCATTCCTTCGCACAAGAACAAAGGTCATATTTAGAGGGCTTCTTACCTTATCATTGCAGTATTTACTTGAGATTCAGTGAGTCCAAATTTGGTGTATTCTGTTCATTATTGGGGCACCCCACTTTTTAAAATTCATTTACAGGATGTGGGTCTTGCTGGTTGGCTCAGCATTTCTTGCTCATCCCTAATTGCCCTTGAGAAGGTGGTGATGAACTGCCTTCTGGAACTGGTGCAATTCATGTGGTGTGGGGACACCCGTAGGGAGCAGTCCCATGATTTTGACCCAAAAGGCAGGGAAGAAACAATGATATAGTTCCAATTCAGGATGGTGTGTGTGGCTGGGAGGGGAGCTTGTAGTCATGCTGCTCCTGAGGTGGCAGAGATTGCGGCTTTGGAAGGCACTGTGAAAGGAACCTTGGTGAGTTGCTGCAAAAATATCTAGTACGTGGTACACAGTGCTGCCACTGTAAGTCAGTGGTGAAAGAAGTGAATGTTTAAGGTGGTGGATGGAGCACCAACCAAATGGACTACAATAGCAATGCCATTGAATATCAAGAGCAGGTGGCTAGATCTTTCCTGTTTGAGACAGACATTGCCTTGTATTTACGTGGCACAAATGTTACTTGCTACTTACTGGCCCAAGCTGATGAGGAAGGTAATGTCAGCCGTAGACTGGGTACAACACAAGGTTTGACTGAATGGTACAGGGCTTGAAAGGGTGGGATGTGGGTTTCGCCCCCTTGAGTTTAGAAGATTGAATAGTGAGACAACAGGTTAAACAAAGTGAAAGGATTTAGTATCGTAAGCGCTGAGGAACTATTATCTGTGATGGGTGAATGCAGGCCACAGTGAGAGCTGAACTGAGGCCAGTGGATTGGGGATCCAGTGGCAGCATTTTCCCGTGGAACTGATGATCCTAACATCAGAGTCTCAATGTTTCACTGTGTTTGGAAGGTCTGGGATTTTTTTCCAAATCACCAGGTAGTGGACAGAGAATGGACTGACCGTCCAATTAAGGACAGTGGGTACATTCTCGAAATTGGAGGACCATTAGGAGGAAGGAGGCTGGCATTTTAAATAAGAGAGGCAGAAAGAGAGACGCCCCTCACCCCCACCATTTTGAGGAGGCTTCCTTCCAATGTTTTGAACTTTTAAATGCAATCCCTTCAGGGGCTACAGGAATCCCTTTGAAAGGGCAGGCTATGATGGCAGATCTGACCAGGCAGGCAAATCTTTTCCCACGTGACCCCATTTTGTGCCTGAAAATTGTCACAACCCCTCAGTGAGCGATGTGGGAGTGAGAAGGCCTATGAGAGCAGGGGAAATGGGGTTGGGGGGGAGGCATCGCATCAGAGCTCATCACCCCCACGATCTCAGCTCACGACCCCATGGATCCTGATCCCCACTTTGGAAGCTCTGTTCTGAAAGCCTGACAAGAGCAATGGCTACCTCCCAGGGTCTTGACGTCTCCCTGGGCTACAGACTGACTGGGAAGTTCCAATCGGTCTCTTACAGGAGAATCTTGATAGATAAGGAAGTCAAGGATGATGGGGTCTGCAGACAGGAAAGAGGGTTTGACACCAGAACCAGATCAGCCATAATCTTATTGAAGGGTGGACCAGAATTGAAGGGCCAAATGGCCGTCTTGTGCTCCCAAATTCTGTGTTCCTTTGTGGGATCAACTCCTGGTATGGGAATGTTTGAGCTACAGGGAGAGGCTGAATGGACTGGGGCTACTTTCTCTGGAATATTGGGTGCTTAGGGGTGATCTTATGGAGGTTTATAAAATCATGAGGGGCATGGGTGGGGTGAATAATCAAGGTCTTTTCCCCAGGATAGGGAAGTCCAAAACTAGAGGGCATAGGTTTAAGGTGAGAGGGGAAAGATTTAAAAGACATTTATAAGAGGCAAGGTTTTCGCGCAGAGGATGGTGCATGTATGGAATGAGCTGCCAGAGGAAGTAGTGGAGGCTGGTACAACTACAACATTTAAAAGGCATCTGGATGAGTACATGAATAGGAAGGGTTTAGAGGGATATGGCCCAAATGCTGGCAAATGGGACTAGATTAATTTAGTATATCTGGTCAGCATGGACGAGTTGGACCGAAGGATCTGTTTCTGTGCTGTTCAGCTCTATGTAGGCCTCATTAGGCCTTTAATTCATGTTAACCTGCTGTACTTACTGCTTGTGGAGATTTAGCCAAGATGAACCCTAACCTTGCTCCATATAGTCAGGGGGCAGAATGGTGCCATAAAACTGGCACGCCAAACAGTGGTGCATGATTTTCAACCTGTGCTTACTCCATCAGGAGTAAAAGTCTGACTGGGTAGTCAAAGGCCTAACCTCAAGAGGGAGAGCTGAATTGGGGGAGTTACAGAGAGAGAGAGAGAGAGAGAGGGACACACACACACCACCCCAGTCAGCTTCAATACTTGGCGAGAGCGTTCAGAAGGGTGGTCCTGGTGGTAAGGTTTGCTGAGCCAGCATTTTATCCCTTTCTCTGGTTCCGTTGCAGCACACAGGCCTGTGACCTCTGGGCTTCACTGCAGAATGTCGCTGAGACAGTCGGGCTGAAACGTAAATGGGCTGATTGTCAGAGTCGCAAACTCCTACTGGTGTCGCTATGTGTAGATCCTACAACCACTGTGAGTGATGAAGTGCCCAAGAGCAGAATTCGGTCCACTAGGGGCTTGTAACCAAAATTCCCTGATTTTTTTACCTGTTTCTCCAGCCACTAACATTGTTTTGAAAGGACGTTTAGTTTTTCACTATTTGCTAAGGGTGCTTTTGGGCAGGAGCTGATATCTGGACTGTGAGGTGTCAGGGGTTGGAGGTTCTCTGGTTGCCTTAGGATGGGGGAGCAGGGAGAATGTCTCTTTGGCTGTGGTGAGTGGGAGCAGAGTTGCCCGGGGTCTGTGGTCTGGTGTGATGCCTGGGAGTAGGAGGCGGTATAGTCAGTTAAGGGGTAGGGGGAATGGGGGAAATGTTTGGGATCTCGTGGGTGCTACTCAGAATCCAGGCAAAGGTGAGTCCTCTGGGATAGGAAATGTCTGAAAGCTGTAGTGTGGGGCATACCTGGATTGGGGAGGTCTGTCTGCATCGTAGGCAATTAATGGGGTGGGTGGGCCTCCTTGCATTTTGGGTTGGAGGGGGCAGGGGAGGACCTGACATTTTAAATATATGACATTTGAATGGAATCCAGCAATTGGGGGTGACGCACTGGATGTTGGAACATCTGAGAGTCTGTGGAGTGGGGATGATGTGCAGGAACTGGAGAAGACAGTTACCCTGATCTGGGATACAATGCCTGATACTTGCAGTGCAGGGTTCCCGGGATCGGAAGTTCTCTGGGATGGGGATGTAATGCCCTGGGATGAAGGCGGGGAGATGCTCAGGTCTGCCTAGAGTTGTGGTGGGGGTGAATTGCAGAGCTGAGTTTATTTCAGATAACCTTTGGTCATGCAATTATTTAACTTTTCAGTTACTTGGTTAAAGTTGACCATTTTCTGATTCTTATTTTCCATTCTTATTCTGTTCCCTGCTACCCTGTACTCTCAATTCTCCATCCTTCTCCAAACACTCCTGATTCTCTTCTCCCTTCTCTGACGTCTCTCTTTCTCCTACATTTCCCTGTCAATCTCTTGGCCCCTCTCCCCATCCTGTCACCTTTGACTCCACTCCATCAGGAGACATCTGCAGGTCACACAAGAACAGTGGGCTCCTCTCCGCTATTCTCCATAGATACCAGGACAGAGTGGCAGCCTTCACCTGATACCTTGGACTGGGATTACAAGGAGTTGATGTTAATTAAGGTATGCCAGTGTAAAACGGCCCAAACAGTTCACTTCTCAAAATGGTGAACCTGTTAAAGGGGCACTGATTGCACAAAATAATGTTTGGGAGTGAGACTATTCAGCAGGAAAGTCTTTTTCAAAGCTGTTGCCCACCTACAGTCCTACACCTTCTGTGCTTGAAAATCCACATTGAGAGTTTGGCAACACCTCAACTTTTACATGCTCTTCCTCGTGTTCAAATCCTCTGCCTCCCAATCTCTAATTTCCCACCCCCACAAAAAGCTGGGTGCTTAGAAAAACTCAAAGTAATTGGGAAGCATCACTATGGTTTTGTGAAAGGGAAATTATGTTCAACCATTTTAGTAGATTTCTTTGAAGGAATAACCTGTGCTGTGGATAAAGGGGAACCTACAGGCATACCGGAGTGGAATTTCCAGAAGGCATTTGATAAAATGACACATCAAAGATTATTGCGGAAAATAGAAATTCATGGTGTGGGGGGTAACATATTGGAATGGATTGAAGATGGGCGGCTGGCAGATAAACACATTTTCATTAGGCAAGGGTATTGGGGATAAATGGGAATGTGGAATTTGAAGCACAAGCAGATCAGCCATGATCTTATTGAATGGTGGAGCAGGCTTGAGGAGTGCAAGGTCTGTTTCTGCTTCTGAGGAGATGGTGCCATAGTGACAATACTGTACTGGCAATCCAGAACCTCAGGTTAATGCGGTGGGGACTAGGTTCAAATCCTACCATAGCAATTTGAATTCAATAAAAATCTGGAATAAAAATGCTAGCCTACTGTTGATTGATGTAAAAACCCATCTAATGGAGGGAAGAAAATCTGCCATCCTTACCCAGTCTGGCCTATACATGACTCTAGATCCACAGCAATGTGGTTGACTCTTAACTGCCCTCTGGGCATTTAGGCATGGGTAATAACAATGGATGCCTGCGTTCCATTAATGAGTGATAAAATAAATTGCACCTTCACACATGTGCACTCTTCCAATTCAGGCCTTCATCTCCAATTTTACTTACTCCACCATTGTTCCTTCGACTTCCTGGGCCTTAAATTCTGAAATTATGTACCTGAGATGCTCTGTCCCTTATCTCACTTTCCTCCACTAAAGAATCCTTAAAACTTACATGCTGCTTTTGGTTGCCAGTCCTACTGTTGTCTTATGTAGCTCATTGTCAGATTTTGCCAGTGCTTATAACTGTCATGGGGAATTTGATTTCATTAATGGTCCTGTGTAAATTGAAGTTGTTTTTGTTGTTTTATATCCAACAAAGTTATGAAATGAGTTTCCTAATCTGAATGCAGTAGATTATGAGTCACGTAGCCTGAAACAATGCAAGCTCTGGCACTGATCAACATTAAATTACAATGTTCTTCAGGGAAGGAAACCTACCATCCGGTCTGGTTGAATTTTAATTGGTTTCTGTACTGGCTGAACAAGGAACTCAATTGAATCAAACTGTCCTATCAAACACTTCTAGAACAAGGACAGCACGGGGTTAGATACACCGTACAGCTCCCTGTATGCTGTCCCCATCAAATACTTCAGGACAGGTTCAGCATGGGTTTAGATACAGAGTAAAGCTTCCTCTACTCTGTCCCCATCAGACACTCCCAGATACAGTACAGTGTGGCATTAAGTGCAGCCAAAATCTTTTTCAGGAGGTATTGCTGTGTAGTGGGTTGCGTCCCTGCTTCTAAATCAGGAGCTCTGGGTTTGAGTCCCATTACAAGAGCTAATGGTCGGGAAAGATGTGGATATAATGCAGTCAAACAGTTTGTTTATCGAACTGCAAATCCTTCCAACAGACATCAATGTCAGGCAGTAAAGGCAGGAGAGATTCCATGTGACATAAAGAATACTGGAAACTCTACCATCACTATCAATGGATTCGAGCTACAACATACATGTACATGTGTACGTTACCAACACAACAGGGACTCTGTGAGTGATCTGCAGCACCAACTAAACCTTCTACACTATCCCAATATACAGTCCCAGCATGTATTAGGTACAGAGCCCAAGCATATTGCCAAGCCCCCATTGCAAAAGAGCATCTCCAGCCAGTACACATTGTGACAATTGTCTGTTTTTCACCATCTCCCTCCTCAATCCAGAATGTCAGTTGTGTGGGTGGGTTGGAAGTAAAGGTGTGGCGCCACACCGATTGGCTATCAGACTGAACTGCCTCTAAACTGGGGTGCGGTGATGTTGTCATTGGCCACCATGGTTCTGTTTTTCTCTGTTCTAGAACTCGGCCCCTCAGATCCAGAATGGCTATAGTCCAACCCACCGTATCCAGGCCTTCTTTTATCACTGGACACAGGCTGACAGAAATGGGAAAAGCAAGACTACGTATGACTTCAATAAGAACTTCATGGCCTAGTGGATCTGAAACTGCAGCACTGGTGCTTCCTTCTGCTCCATCAAGCCTTTTGCAAACCTTTTATTTGTCTCTCTAGGTCACGTCTTTATTTATTTAAAGGGGCTTATTTGTTTATTGGGAAAGTGGCAAGGCAGTCAGAACAGGAATGAAGGAGTGTGTGGATGGTTTCAGGTAGAAATGCAGACCTTTTCAACTAAAGAGAAAGATAGCTAGAAATATAGAACAGAATTATAAGAGTTTCTACAGATATTTTAAAAGAAAGGAGTTTCACTGGGTAAGCATTGGTCTGAAAGAAACTGAGTAGAAAGAATTAATAATGAAAAATAGGGAGGTGGCAAATGAAGTGATCAGGTATTTTGCATCAGTCTTCACCTTAGAGGATAAAGTAGTCTCCCATAAATAGCTGTAAATCAGGGAGGGAGGAACTCAAGAAAATTGCGATCACCAGGGAAGTGGTGCTGTGAAAATCATTGAAGCTGGTGGCTGACAAGTCCTCGGGTCGTGATAGACATCACCCTAAAGATTGAAATGGCTAATAAGACAGTTGATGTGTTGGTTTTAATTTTCCAAAATTCCCTAGATTTGGGCAAGGTCCTATTAGATTGGAAAATAGCAAATGTTAGTCCTTTATTCAAAAAGGGAAGAAGAAATAAACCAGGAAACTACAGCCAGTTAGCTTAATAGCTGTCATAAGAAAGATGTTAGAAGCTATTATGAAATATGATTTAGCAAGGCACTTGGAAAAGCTCAAGATAATCAGGTAGAATCAACACGGTTTTATGAAAGGGAAAACATGTTTGACCAATTTGGTAGCATTCTTTAAGGAAGTTACATGCTATGGATAAAGAGGAACTGGTGGTTGAACTATACTTGGATTTACAGAAAGCATTTGATAAGATGCCACATCAAAGGTTATTACAGAAAATAAAAGCTCACGGTATAGAGGTAACTTATAGGCATGTCTAGATAATTGGCTCGCAGACAGGAAACAGAAAGAAGGCATAATGGGATGTTGCATCTTGAGGGGAATCTAGCACTAGGGGTTACTTTTTACAAATAAAGGGTCAATCATTTAAGACAAAGATAAGGAGATTTTTCTTTCATAGCTGGTTGTGAGTATTTGGAAGTCTCTTCCTCAAACATTGGTGGAAGCAGAGCCTTTGAGTATTTATAAGGTAGAGGTGGATAGACAAATCTTGGGTACCTCACTTCAGGCAGGATGTGATGGTCTTGGAGATGGCATAGGAGATTTACTAGAATGGGAACAGAGGTAAGGAACATCAGTAATGTGGAGAGACAAGGGAAGCTGGGATTGTTCTCCTTAGAGCAACAATTGTTCAGAGGAAACTTAAAAGAGATATTTGAGATTATAAGGAAATTTGATGAATGAGGAAAAATGGTTTCCATTGCCAATCAGTAATCAATAACCAATAAAGCGCCTCAATAAAGATTACTGCAGAAAATAAAATCTCATGTTGTTGGGGGGCATAGCATCTTGGCATGGATAGAATATTGGATAGTTAACAGGAAAGAGTAGGCATAAGTAGGTCATTTTCAGGCTGGCAAGATATAATGAGTGGTGTGCAAAAAGGGTCAGTCCTGGGGCTTAAACAATTATATAAATTATTATACTTGGATGAAGGAACCAAAGCACAGCCTCTGCTCTACAAAGAACAATGCCAGTGTCTTTTGACTGTCCACTTTGCTGAAGTTGAAATATTTTCAAGACAAAAATCAATCAAGTTTGGACTCTCAGGGTATCAAGGGATATGGGGGTTGGGTGGGAAAGTGAATTTGAAGTCAAAAATCAGTCATGACCCTGTTAACTGATGAGCGAGGGACCATACAGTCTACTCCAGCTTTAATTTGCTTCATTCTTGTGGACTTCAATTCAAAGTCTCTATTGTGTCAGGGTTTCTGGTGCTGTCTACTGACCCTCCCTAATTGGGAAAATGGGTGTTGCACTCATAAGGAGATCAGGGGTGACTGTGTTGTTTCAATGGGCCATTACTTTATAGACTCTCAGTCTGCCCCATAGATCTGAAACCTAGCCAAGAACAATCCTCTGGCACTATATTTCACTTAATCATTACTCCAAAACTGCAGGATAACCCAAGGAAGGATAGAATTACCCTCAGAGCAGGAGCAGTGGAGATTTATCAGAATGAAGAGTTAAACTATGAAACAAGATTACATAAACCAGGGCTGTATTAACTGGAATTTAGAGTTATCGAATCAAAGTGTTCAAGATACAAAGGGGCACAAATAGAGTCAGTTGGGAGAAACTATTTCTGCTGGTTGGGGAGTGTAAGACAAATGGAATAGTGTACCAATTAGACACAGACTGTTCTGTAGTGAAATTAGGTCACACTCCTACACACTAAATAGAAATATTAAACACTTTCACAGATAACAACTGATGCTAGATTAATAGATAATTTTAAATCAGAAATCGATAAATTTATGATCAACTAAAGGTACTAAGGGAAATCAGGCAAAAGTGAAAATATGAAGTTAGGTAACAGATCAGCTGTGATCTCATTGAATAACAAAACAGGATGCAGGAGCTAAGTAATCTACTCCAGTTCCTTTGTCCCCATATGTTTCTAATCTATGTGTTATATTGAATCAATGCTTTTGGATAACACTCCTGGACAGTCTAGCTGTAATTGTAAAATTGTGCTGCCTTGTTTTGGAAATAATTTCTCTCTGTCTACCCTATCAAATCTTTCAATCATTGGGATCATCTTGCATAGATTCACCATTACTTTTTAACTCAAGGAAATACAAAGAACCAGTGCATGCAACGTAACTTCTACTCCTAGGCTTTGTGTTCAAACCACAGCATTGGCAGTAAGCACAAGAACTGGGATCATGTACAGTAATGAACAGGAAGAGACCATGTGGTTTCTAACACATAAACAGAAATTGCTGGAAAAGCTCAGCAGGTCTGGCAGCATCTATGGACAGAAATCAGAGTTAACTGGCCAATCTTCATCACTATGGGTTTCTGTGTGCTTTCTGGCATGGGTCTGACCACGGCGTTCCTGACATGGAGGTGCAGAGAATGCCAAGCTTTTGTCGCTATCCGACAAGATGACCAGGCCAGGACAGATGTCTGAAGGGGAGCAGTTTTCAGTGGATTCAGTGGTGATTCCCCACTCACCATCCTTCCTCAGCCTCCCTGCTCCCAAAAGAAATCACGTCTTACGATTCAACAGGTTGTTGTGACCTTTTTAGATCAAGTGTCAGTTGGGTAAGGGTCACATGACAGCAAAGGTGGAACAATGGAGTTGACGTGCTGATTAGCAATGATCTGAATAGCAGGATAGACTCAAGGGGCTGAGTGGCCACTCATGTTCCCATGATACAATTATCCAACCATTGAACCATATTGTCTGGGCAGAATTGGGCACAGATGGAGAAACATCTAATGTGTGTCAAGTCTCCATGGCTCATGCTCATAGTACAGGCAAGGATGGGGAAGGGGGAGCTGTCAGTCCTACTGGGCAATTGCAACCAGTACAAATCTTTCTACACACATTGAAACTTGAAGAAACCACCCATTAAATAAGACTGTCTGACCAGCAGGCGGTATTCAAAAATTCTTGCATGGATCCCCTTTAAAATGACAACACATTAATGAAGTCCTGTTCCAGCAGAATCTGTTCAGCCCCTGGTGAATACTCTCTGTAAAAGCCATAGGGGTCAATACAGCTGTTGAAGTAATGGACTGAGAGTTGGACAGATACGGCCATGGGACACAATCGATTCCAGGGAATATGAAACGGATCAGTGGACGGCAATAAATCTGGATTGCATCCAAGACAGCTTATAGAAATTCCTCCTCTGAGAGGTTTTCCATACGGTTATTTACTGGAATAAAAATTGGATTGTTGTTGGGAGCACCAGTGTGCACTGAGTCTTGCAAGGATCAGGGAGGCTAAGTGGGGTAGTCTTTCTTTCTCTCCACTTGACTTTTCAAACTCTGTCAGTTTGTAGAACTTCTGTCGCTTATTTCACGAGAACAAATTCCAATCCTCAAACTCTTTCACTGATCTCTGAGTCATAGTTCCAGTCCCCAGTGTGGAGAAGACTGTTAGCACCAATTAAATGAGCAAGTCAGAGCATGTACATTTCAAATGAGATCCTAAATTGAAGCCCAGTTTGCTCCATCAAACAGATACAAAAGGTCCTGCTACTCTATTAGGAGGAAGATTGGAGGGGTTCTGTCTGTTTGCCTGGCCTATACATATCCCAGAAACAATATCACTAAAACATGACTATCTAGTTTTATCTCATGGTTGTCCATGGATTCTTGTTGTGTCAAATTGACTGCTACATTTCATACAATTGACAGCTACCCTTCAAAAGCACTGACCGGCTGTGAAGCCCTTTGGAATGCCTTCAGGTCGTGAAAGGTGCTATGTAAAAGCAGATTACTTTACTGCTTGTATTGTGGCCTGGGGAATACTTACCTTGCTCCCCACCTCTTCCCCATCATAGTCCTCTCCTTCCATTTGCCAGATATGCTACTTTACCTGTCTCTACACACCGACCAGTTTTTGGCTATTGACTGAGCTGGGATCCAGTGCTATTGGATCTTGTACCGTTGCCCTGAAGCAAAGGAAGGCAAAATAATGGAGACAGAATATCCTATTTCTCACACAGCAGATGAAAGAACCTTAACATTCTTGCATACTATTGAATGTCAGTTCTCTCTCCTCTTTCTAGCTAGAGGTGACCAATCCCTATTTCGCAGCTGCCACCCAGTATTCCTGACTGAAATCAAGAGCTCATTGAGGGGGAATGGCAGTCACAGATCTGTGACCCACCATTGTGTGAGTTGACCCTTGCAAGCACACACATTGGCTTTAGATCATTGTAACATAGGGCTGGCAAAGACACAGTGGGCTACATGGTCATATTGTCTCCTGTTAACCTCTATTGTTCACCTTAACAGTGGTTCTCACCCTCCAATTGTTTTAACTTTTATGAGAAGATCCCATCACTGTTGTAACATCTGATTACTGAGAGCAAGCATCAAGATGCAGTAAACACTAACTTGTTTTACTGGAATAAAGGTGATGAAATATCATGAAATAACATTGACATTTGCAATAAATATCTTTCAAAGTTCACAAATTTGTTTTACAATGACAAGTTGATGCAAGAGGTTTAATTTAACATAGACCCACAAAGGAATGGACTTAACGTCAGTTTGCCAACCCTTCAGGATTGACCTGAGGTGGCCAGAAATTGAGCATAAATATCCAGGACACTACTGTGAGTAACTCTTGGCCTGTGAAATCATAGGGACATTAAAAGCAATTTTTAAAATGTATCTGTTTATTAATATTAGAGATTGGGAGAATGACTGGCATGCATTTGTCAGCCAGTTGCCTCATGAGTCTATGCCCTTTACAGTTGGCTGTAAACTAGAAATCGGGGAAGGCATTTCATCAGCTTTGATGACCATTAGATGATAGGAATTTGTCTTTTCTCTCGCAGGCAGTATTAACAAGAAGTCGTCAAATCATTTCATAAGTGGCTGCTTTGCTAATCACCTCCTCATAGGTGTCATTGTCCGACAGCTCCAGGTCAATCTTGTAAGCATTTCTCATATGCTGTTTCAGTCGATTGTAGTGGGTAAAGATGCTGCCACAGGTTGAGCACCTGTAGCTGGGGTGACTGCTGTGCTTCTCCTGGTGTCTCCAGCATGACTTTTGCGTGTGGAAGGCACGGTCACACAAGCAGCAGCAATAGTTCCTCCTCCAGAAATGGACTTTCAAATGGAAGCCTAGGCTCCTCTCATCATTGCACCAGAGATCACAGATGTTGCAGACATGGTAGTTGCAGCCATCAGCAAGAGCAAGGTAGAAGTGTTTGGACATTGGAATGAAGCGAGCTGGGAGGCAAAGGTCAGGGCCATCTGCCTTCTTGGAAAAAAGTCTATTTCTACCTGAGCACGTCCAGTGACTGGGCTTTTGAGATTTGCAGCACTTAATGTGAAGCTGCAAAGTGTGAAGGCTGTTAAAAATGTTCTGACATATGGAGCACCAGTAAGCTTTGGAATAATATT